GATTTCAGCAAAACTGTGCACGGTTTAGCGTTCTTGCGGGTTCGTTCTCTGGTAATCGGTTTCTAACCAGTTTCGGGCAATTTTCCAACCAGATTCGGGAACGCGCATTTTCCGACCAGATTCGAGTAAAATTCCAACCAGATTCGGAAAGTTTTTTATTTTCCGACCAGATCTGGCGATTTTCTGACCAGATCCGACCGAGAAAGCTAATTTCCCAACCTGATTCGGACAATTTTCTAACCAGATCTAGCCATTTCTGCTCCGGAATTTTCCCGAATCTGGTTGGAAACCGATTACCAGAGTTTCTTGCGCTTTCATTTCTTGCGGATTTCGATTCTTGCGGATTTGTACGGTCTCGGATTTCCAGAGCGTTTTTCAGATGGTTTCTAGCTATATTTTTGGGAAATTGACTTGTAGAAACGGTCTGAAATTCAAAGTGCGATGTTTTTAGCGAAAATACCAACGTTTAGACCCAAAAATAGGCAAAAGTCGTACATAACACCAGTACGCAAAAATGCGGACCTGAACACTTTGAACTGCTGGCTGTTTTCTGGGGGAATTCTCAGATGTTTCTGAGCGATTTTCAGACAGATTCTAACGATTTTCGTTTAAAACGTTTACCAGAAGAGGCGAGTCTTACAGCACATCGAACAGACGGAACGGCACGGCAGAGAAGGCTCATTCCTGGAAAAATTGTTTTTTTTTTCAAAAAATATCTTAGAATTAGGAAAAATCGAAGAAAATATGTCGCGTTTTATATTGAATACTACAAATAAGTAGAAAGAAAAGGGTCATTGTCGCTATCAGCAATATAAAACCCCGCAAAACAAAAATTTACGGGGACGGTAAAAGAGATAAGAATAGAGAATCCAAGGACGATGTTGTCTTCCGAGTCTTTATTGGTTTCATTTATTTAAACGAGCAAAGATCGAATTTTTTATTTTGCAAAGAAATTTTGAGAAAAAAACTGAATTCTGAAATGTGTCTGTCGGTATAAACAAAAAAATGACCTTGAAAATAAATGTTTCTTGTTATTTTTTGTTCTTGTCAGATTTCTTCGTTGAATCGAATGAAAACACAATTTTTGCTGCTGTATCAGACTGTGTGTTCTTTTTTTTTCCCGAATTACCCTTTCCAGCTTCTCCCGAGTATTTGTTTTAACTCACTTTTCTTCAGTTATATTTTATATTCTGAAACACTGCAATTTCCAAAATTAGCGATTTTTTAAACCTAGATTTTTGAAATTTTATGGTGTTTTGAGCTCAAAACTGTCGTGTAAACACGTGAAAATCGGTCACAACTTCTAATTTTTTGGCAATGTGTGCAAACACTGCGACGAGATCTCGCGAACGGTGCGCGAGAGTTGACGACAAAGCAGCTTTTTCGGATAATATTCTCTGGTTTCCGGAAGTGATAAAATGTAAGTTTTCAGCCAAAATTTGCAGACTTGATTATTCAAAAATAAAGAAAATAAGTTGAACATTCAAGAAAAATTAAGATTTGACATAAAATGTTTTTGGAGTAAGTGAAAATCTGAGGAGAAAAAGTTTCCAATTTTTTTTCTCAAAAAAGTTCCCGAACCATTCTAAACTTTCCCAAATATCAAATTTCCAATAAACGCGTTTATAAAAATGATCCAGCTATTGTGTCTCCTGCCCACATTCTATTGTGTTTATTATATATTTCCGTCCCATTCAAAACATCTTTTATCATCAATGCTGTAAAAAGAGCACACAGACAGAGCTAGTCATCATATTTATTTTTATATTTTATAGTCGAAAAACTTTTTTTTATTGTGAAAATATCTGTAAGACCTGTAAAACAAAGGAAAAATGAGTGGCGGTAAGCAAAAAAACCGAAAATTTTGAAAAAAAAAACTTGTATAAAATCCCATTAATCCGAAGGATTAACCTAGAAGGATTATCCTTTGAAATTTTTTAGAGACAAACTTTTTTTGAAAGAATCAAATTTTGGACCCAAATGCTTTCAGAAGCTTGGCACTCTCGGAAGCTCTCCTTGGGAGTCACTCCACGTGCTCTTTCTCGTATCGACGCTACCTCGACACCCTCTTTGGAAGTCCCGCAGAAGGTGGGAAAAATTGAAAAAAATGTTTAGGGAAATTGCAATTATAAAAAAATCTTAAAAACCAAATTTCCTTTCAAAAAGCTCAAAAATAACTGTGAAAATTGACTGAAACCGACCTAAAATCGCTTTATTTTGTGCTGAAAATCGTGTAGATTCACATAAAAATAAAGAAAAAAATTCAACGAAAATTCCTTCTTTGAGACTTATTTCTCTATTTTTATGTGGGGTTTTACATGATTTTCTGCACAGAATGATGCTAAAAGCAGAAAAAACTCAAAAATGAGTCATCTGGGAGGCTAGAAACTAGATTGGCTCCAAAAAAGGCAATTTTCGAAAATATATTTTGAAAACATATCAAAAAAGGCGGATTCAAAAAGGATGGGAATATAACATTTGGGCTTTATTTTTCAGCTTTTTTCTATATATTTTTAGCTGTAAGAAATTGTGAAAATGCATCGAAATTTGCATAAAAAAGAGGTATAACAGGCTATAAATTTTCAAAAATAAGGTTTCCAATTATCGCAAATAAACTGAAAATGGTCCAAAAGTATCTGAAAATAACAAAAAAGTGGCTAAAAATAGTCAAAAATGGGTTTAAAAAACCAAAAATTGCTGAAAATTGGCTGAAAATGATCCAAAACATCCGAAAATCCGAAAATTTCCAGACTGCAAATCGTCGATTCTCACTCGCCGCCACCTTTCTCGACGCAACAAAATCGAATCGAAAGACATCGCTTTGTGTTGGTAAGTCTATAAATGCTATGAAATAATTGTTTTTTCGGCGAAAAATTGAAAAGTAGACGACACAATTCTCCTCCTCTCGCTCGGCGAAAAAGGAAAAATTGGAAAAAAAATCTGAAAGATAACATCAAAAACAGCAATGAAAAAAATTGGTTTTCTTGAAAAAACTTTTTTTTTCGATTCTTTTTGTCTAGAAATCGAAAATCTGGAAATAGAATTTTGAAAAATTAAGAAATTGAGATTTTGTTGAGATTTTGAGACTTTCTTAAGAATCTCGCAATTAGGTTAGAATTTCCAGGATTTTAGTTATTTTTGGGATATTTCACATTTTTTGGACTTTAGAGATTATAGGGATTGTTTTTTTTTCCGGGTTGTTTTTTTTGTAATTTTTGAAATTCTTAGTAATTTATCGGATTTTTGAAATTTTCGAGATTTTTCTTAATTTTTCGGAACTTTTCGATTTTGTGGGTTTTGAGAATTTTGGAAATTTCGATATTCTGAGATTCGGAGATTCTTGGATTCTTGGAACTTATGGAATCACACAATCAGAATCTTGAATATTCCAAAAATCTCAAAAATTTCAAAAACCCTTAAAATCTTTAAAATCTCAATAATTCAAAAAACAAAAAAGGTAATTGTCCCATAATCAAAAAATGCTCCGAAAATTAAAACAAAACCAAACAATCCAATAATTCTGTGGATCTGAAGATTCTTAAAGGTGGGGGGACATGAAAAAAATTATTTTCTCGAAATTCCGTTTACATACGCTCGAGGAGTTGAACTTGTGAGGGCGATGATTGAGGGTGCGGCGCCGCTACCGACTGAGCTACACGGGCAAAGAGAAAGCGGCCGTCGGATTGCATACATAAAGGCGAGGACGACAGCTGTACGCAGAGTGACATTAAGCGTTGTACACTGTTACGGTAGAATGCATACTCTGGCCCCGAAAATCCCCCGTAAAATCTCCTGTCCCCCCACCTTTAAACTTCTTAAAATTCCAGAATCTCCTTTTGGAGATTTTAGAGATTTTAGGAAATTATATGCCCCTTAGAATTTACAAAAATCCAGAATTTTCCATCGAATTTCGTCGATTTTCCCAATGCCACGTCATCATCTTCTTCTTCTTCCTCCAACTCAAACAACCCTTCCCCTCTTCTCTTCCTTATCATTTTAATGTCTTTTTGCTCTTCTTCTCCTCCCATTTTTCCACAAACCAAATCTGAATCATCACTCACTTCTCTTATTCTAATCACTTCTTATTATCACCCCTTTTCCCTCTCAAAATTGACAAATTCTAATTCTGATTGTTCCTCAAATTCGCCCACTAATTAATAATTATCATGTCGACTAGAATGACAAATGTGAAACTTCGAAAAACGGTTTCGATGAATTTCAAATCTCGTCCCGAGAAATATCGACGACCCCCCATTCAAAAAATCGATGAATCTGAAGAAATATCGGCTCTGAATCTGGAGCTGAATTGGCTGAAAATTCGTAGAGAAATGAGTGTCGATGAGGAGAATGGTGTGCATTTTTTGTCATTTAATTGAGTTTACACAATTAAAAAGTGGCCCATTTTTTTGCTATTTTTTGGGAATAGATGTTTTCAATAATAGCGGTTTCCAAAAAATGTTTAAAAAAGCGAAAATCAAAAAAGGCCTAGTTTGGATTTCTAGGTCACCATCTGCTTTGATTTCTAAAACCCCCCATTTTCAGAAAAAGACTATCTGAATCACACTCGAATTGTTCGTCCCAACGCCACCGGAGCCCCAGATTCTGACTTGGACCGCCCGTTATTCGGGGAACGAAAATCGACGTGGTATACGGATAGTATCCGCACTACACGAAGCGATTCGATTAAACCGACGGCGTCGCGTAGCCGTCGAATGGGTGGCAGAGCGATGAGAGTGATCGTTGTTGGTGGAAAAAAGGTCGGAAAGACCGCGATTTTGAGACAAGTCGCTTGTGTTGAGGATATCACTAATAAGGTGGGCGAAAAATCGATTTTTTGTTTAGAGGGCATTTGACATAGAAAATCGACTTTTCTGAAGACATTTGATCAGTATTTCTTTTCGAAAAAAAAATGTCTCGAAAAATGCGCAATGCGGTATTTCGGAGTGTCGTTGCTGACATGTTTTTATGGTTTTTCTTGCCATTTTGACATGGTGGCCTAACGTTTGCAAGTTGGGTTTT